TCCGCGGGCGCGTCGGCGGTTCGCAAGTCGCTCGACGGCTTCCTGTACCAGCTCAGCGGCGAGCAGGCCACCGACAGCCTTCGCGCATCGCTCGTCGCGGCGGCGGCGTCGATCGCCGCCGACGCCGGCGCCATCAAGGCCGCGCTGCTGTCCGCCGGCGGCGCGCCGGCCGGCGCCGGCGTCCAGATGCCGGGCTTCCAGCCGGCCAGCGGGGTCCAGACGCGCACGGAGAGCCCTCAGGACGCGCTGACTGAGACGCTGCTGCAGAACCTGGGGGCCAACGGGCGGCGGCTGAGCTATATCATTGGGTCGGACGACAGGGTGGAGGAGAAGGACTACCCTGGCTGGCCGTACACGGCGGTTGGGCAGGTTCTCTTCAAAAAGGGCTCCTGCTCGGGCGTCATGATCGGGCCGCGGTCGGTGCTGACCGCGGGGCACTGCGTGTACTCGCGGAAGCGCAAGGCGTGGCAGGACCGCATCACGTTCACGCCGTACCGCCACCGGGTGGCGGACAAGGACACGTGGCCGGTGGGGCGCATCCCCTACACGCACGCGACGACGTACCAGTGAGTTCGCCTGCCGCCGGCGGGGCGGCCAGGGGCGGCGGGGCATGCGGCGCTGGCCCTGCCAGCAGTGGTGCCCAGCAGGCGGCCGCGGGGGCGGAAGGGCCACGGGCGTGGGGTCTTGTGGGCGGCAGGCCGGCAGTGGCTGTCAGCGACCCTTGATCAGCGATGGACTGAGTTTGGTCATGCACGGCATCTGGGCAAATGCAACAGTGCGCGCCAGACCTTGGGCCGGCGCCGCGTGCAAAAATTGCATGACAACACTCACGCATCTGCCTCAAGGGGCTTCATGGAGGCCAGCGACTACAACAACGCGCTGAACTATGACCTGGCTGTCATCCAGCTGGCAGAGGACGTCGGTGAGCGCAGTGTGAATGCAGATCATGGTCTAGCTGTGTAGCGGCTCTGTTGGTCAAGATGCTGAGCATGGGCCCTTCAGGTGGTGCAAAGACGTGGCAACCCAACATACATGCGGCTGGGGCGAAGCGAAGGTGTATGTGATCGCCGGCGCACTTCACCTCCCTCGCCAGCGCCCGCTCACTTGCCCACTCGTTACCGGCCCGCCTGGCTGTGGCGTGCTGGCAGGCTACAAGACCGGGTGGCTTGGAATGTCTTGGAATCCAAAGGGTTACAAGGGCATTATCTACACTGCGGGGTACCCCGGTGACAAAGTCTTTGGTGAGTGCGAAGCGCACCACCCCCGTTAGAGAGGGAGACGGCTGCTGCGCCCCTGCACCCCAGCCAGACGCCCGCGCTGCAGCCTTGGCGGTCGGCCTGGGTTGCAGCTTGTTACTTTACGGAGGGGCGGGCGCCCAGCTTGTCACTCGTACTACAATCCCTGGGTTGTGCGTGAATGCTGTCTGCTGCCCGCTCATTTCTTGTCACACCCCAAACCCTCAAAACTTAATCCGACCCAAAAGGCTCTCTGTGGTCGACCTCGTGCCGTGTGTCGGACGCCAAGGGTACAGACACGCGCTTCGTCACGATGTGCGACGTGTGGCCAGGTGGGCACGGCCCCCGGCCGCCGACGCGCCCCTCCCCACCCCAACTGCCCTCTCAGGCTGCGGCACGGCCATTGCCGTTGGCGCCGCGCCGCGGCCGCCGCCGTCTGCGCGCGGGCGGCGTCCGAGCGCTGCCCGTCGGCATCCGGCAGTCGGCTGCGGGCGCGTGGCTGTCTGCACGCTATCACCCACCCCTGATGACGCCGCTGCCGTTGCCAGGCCCTTCGCTCCTGCGGCCACTGCATCACGCAAACTTTCTGCACCAACCTTGCGCAGGCCAATCCGGGTCACCTATCTGGATCAAGCCCAGCAATTCGACGTACGAGCTGCGTGCCGTGCTGACCTACGAGTCCTGCCGCTGCTGCTCCAAGGACTGCTCCTGCTGCAGCGGGAAATTTAACGGTGGCAACGCCATCAACGCCATGCACTATGCATCGATCCAGGCGTGGCGATGAGGCGGCGCGCGGCGTGGCGCGACTGGTCCAGGCAGGAGGGTCACGAGTGGTTCAGGCGGCACTGGCTGTCGGCTGCGTTCCTGACATTCTGCTTTCGCACTGGCTGCTTTCGCACTGGGTGGAGCGGATGTGCCGCGAGGAGAGCCTCGCATCATCGCTCAGCCGTGGGACAACCCAAGTTTGCATCGCAGCACGCTCTCGGCTGGGCTGTTTGGGGCAGCGCAAACGCCACTCCTCTCCCCTCCTGCGCCTTTGCGATGCGGCCGCGCCCGACTATCAAGACGGAGGCCGCGGCATCACGCGGCACACGACAGGGCTGCATTGTGTGCCCATTTTGCAGGTGACCAGGTTACACTAGCCGGCCAACCATGACGAATCACCATTGCCAACAACCTTTATGTAGATCACCATTTCTCCGATAGCTTTCTACGCTTAGCTTAGTCCACCAGCCAATGTCGCTTGAATGACCCTGGCGTTGCCATCCCTTGCCAAAGTTTTACCCGCGTCTGACAGCAGGAGTGATGTCATACAGTCCGCTGCGTGCACGCGCCGCCTCACTGCCGTTGGCATTTGGCAGGATGCAAGGGCCAAGGGCAAGTTCACATCGTGCGCACATAGATCAAGCCTTGCACAGCGCGTGCGATTGTCACATGCAGCCCTGCTGATCCATCATAAACCAAGGAAACTAGCCCTTGTAATGCGCGCCACAGCATTATGGCTTGTGTCAAACTCATGTCTCAAGCACATTGCATTGAAGGTTGGTACGGCCTGGACAGGTCAGTGTTGGCTGTTGCCAAGGTCCCATTGGAGCTGGCACAGTGCAGCAAGTGAGCGCAGCCGGAAGCGGAGCGGGATCAGGATACAGTCTGCAGGATGCCATGCAGCGTACGACAGCACGAAGTCAGGGGGAAGGGGCGTTGTGATACAAACACAGCATAGCTTAACCGTCAATGGTCCCATCTCAGCTTGGTGCTGGGTCAGGCCGCCAAGCGGTCTATGAGTCACTCAGGACAGGCAGCAGCTGCTGAGCTGCACATGCAACAGTGGGCCATGGAGGGCGTCAACAGTCAGGCCCGTGTATGAACGGGAGTCGTCGCCGGCCCATTGTTTTCGCTATCTTCCGCAGGGCTCTGCCCGCCCTCGATCTCAAGTAGACAAGATTCAAACCAGCCGTTGCATCAGAGCAGCCTGCAAGGCCTTTCCGTTCACTAAACACTTGACCAGCTTTTTCGTATGAGTCGGAGGGTGGTCATGGCCCAGGTCCCAAGGGGCCTGGCGCGCACTGCCCAGATCACGCGGTTGAACTGGAACGCGCGCCCGGCCAGGAATGCAAGGCTGTACATTGGCGCAGCGTCGAGAACTATCGATGGCCCAAGCAGCGCCGCGCCCGCGGGCCCCGAGTCGGCCTCGCACGAGCCGCTCACGCTGCCGCTCAACTTCTACAGCGTGCTCCACCTCAACCGCGCGTCCTCGCGCGAGGCCGTGAAACGCGCGTACGAGAAGGTCATCAACAGCCCGCCCGACGTCGGCTACAGCCAGGACACCCTCTTCTCGCGCGCTGTGCTGCTCAAGAGCGCCGCGGAGTGCCTCGCCGACCTCGACGCCCGCCGCGCCTACGACGCCGCCGCCGCCGCCGTCGGCGGCGAGCACACCCTCGACGTCAGCCGCGACAACCTGCCCGGCGCGCTGGTGCTGCTGCAGGAGGCCGGCGAGAGCGCCCTGGTCGTCGAGCTCGGCCGCCGCTGGCTCGAAGACGCGCGCGCCGCCGGCGGCGCGCCGCCGCCCGCGGCCGCCGACGTCGCGGCGACTGCGGCGCTGGCGCTGTGCGACCTGGCGGCGGCGGCGTTGGAGGAGGAGGCCGGGCAGGTGCTGGGCGCGTGTGAGCGGCTGGAGGAAGCGCTGGGGCTGCTCCAGGCGCACGGGCTGGCGCCGCAGCTGCAGCAGCAGATTGAGGACACTCTGGAGGTGAGCGCGCGCGGCGGCGACGCATGTGCCGCTGGGGTGTCATGTGCGATTGTTTCTTGTTGCGGTGGCGCCGCCGTTTGTTTTCCTTCAGCACGGCCCGTGAAACGCCCCTGTGGAAAGCATGTGTTTTGTGTGGTGGTGTGTGTGTTTGTGATGTTAGTGCGATAGTGTATGTGTGGGGCAGAGTGCGCATGCTTGCGTGCATGTACAGTGTGCATGCACGTGAGTGCTCAAGTGCTCCATCGCCTTTCTGCGGACAAATTGCTTCACTTGATCCAGGCTGGCGCGCACCCCGTCCCCTCAGCACGCGCGCACACACACACACACACACACACACACACACACACATATGCACATGCGCACGTACACGCATCCACACGCGCACACAGGACTTTGCGCCGCGCTACTGCCTCGAGCTTCTGGCCCTCCCCCTGCACAGCGACGCCCCCTGCGCCGCGCGCCGCGCGCGCGGCCTGGCCATCGCGCGGCAGCTGCTATGGGGGGCTGGCCCCAACCGCCCCGCTCTGGCGGGGCCGCGGCTGGAGTTTGTAGACTGTGTGCGCACGCACACGACCGCGGCCGAGCAGGTGGGTGCCACGACGCCCCGCCGGCTCTACGCCGCCCTGCCTCCATCTGCTCAAAAGATGCTGCTCGCCCTTGAGCCCGTACACCTAGCTGCTGCAGGCGGGTTGGGATTGTTACAGCGTCCCGCAGTCGCCGGTGAGGTCAGTGAAGCCATCTTTGCCAATTGGATCGAACTTGAAAGCATCGTGACAACGAGTAAAGTCCCACCAACTCCAACGCCACACTCCTCTGGCTGCAATCCTGCAGGTTGAGCTGTACTCAGGCCTGCCTCAGGGCACTCAGATCGCCGCCACTGAGCGCCTGGACTGCGCGCTCGCGGCCGTAGCTGCCGGACTGTTCAAGGGCAGCCCGCAGCTGCTGGCGCAAGCGGACGCCGTGTACGCGGCCGTGGAGGCGGCCGCTGAGCGGGTGGGCTGGCGAGCGGCTCCCCCGACGCTCTTCCCCGCTACACAAACACGCACGCACACACTCACACACACACGCACACACACGCATACATACACGCACACACACACACACACGCACACACACACACACACACACACACACAAACACACGCACGCATGCGGCCCGTTCCACTGCACCCAACGCCGCAGGAGGGCTCCATGGCTGATGTGACTGTCGAGCGGGCGTCTGTCGCGCTGCTGCTCGGGGACTCCAAGCGCGCGCTCGGGCTGCTCGGGCTCGACGGCGGCGGCGGCGGGGAGGGGCAAGGGGCGCCAAACCCGGAGGTCCTCGCGTTTGTGGAGGTGCGAGCCCCTCGCGAGTCTTCCATGTATTGTCCTAACTGCACGGGGGCGCGCGCCCGGCCGGGCCGGCGACGGGCGACGGGGCGGGGTGGTGCCGGCAAGCTCCTTGAGACTGCCGCCTGTGCCGCCGGCGCGCTTTCGGGAGGCTGCGCTGCTGCTGCTGGCGGGCAGCCTTCATTGCTGCCTGCGCACGTGGGCGCTTCAACACACCCCGCCTTGCAACCTCGAAGCGCTTCCTTACTCCGGCCGCTGCCGCCCGATGCGTGCATCCTGCCCCTCAAAGCGCCCACCAACAGCAACAGCAACCACCTTCACCACCCCCACAATACTGATATCAACACCACCAACAACATCAACACCACCAACAACAGGCCAACTCCCCTGACCCCTCCGACCCCCTGGCCGGCGCCTACGCCCTGGCGCGCGGCTGGGTGAATGAGGCCGTCCTCGGCTCGTTCAGGGACACGGCGGGCCAAGAGGCGGACCTGGAGGCCTGGTTCGCATCCCCATGGGTGCAGGCCTACGCACAGGTGCGCGGCGCGGGGGCCGCCCGGACGCGGGGCATGCGCACGCGAGGCGGGCGGTGGGTCGGCCTGGCGCGGCCGGAGGCTCAGCAGCCTACCTGGCGTCTCGGCTGCGCAGCTCTCGCTTGCAGATACTCCTCAATCTCAAGCTCGGGGGGCCCGGCGGTTCGAGACTGTATAAATGCGACCGCCCCGCCCAATTTCCTGCCGCAGGCGTCGCTGGCATCGCGCTCCCTCAACCCGGTCAACCTGGCCGGCCGCGCCGCGGCCGCGGCGGCCGCGCTCGTGGCGTTCATCATCAGCCTGTTCGCGCGGCTGCTGGGCGCGCTGCGGGCGGCATTTTCAGGGGGGGCTCGGGGCTCGGGCGCCGGCGGCGGCGCAGGCAGGGCGTCGCCCGAGCGGGAGGGCAGGCAGGGGGAGCCGGGAGGGTACGGCGCGGGGGCCGAGGAGGCTGCCCGGGCGTTTGATGCGCCCGAGGACGCCGCGCCCGCGC